TCCACAAAGACTTGCCAATAACTCTACCTGCCACCATTTATTTCAGTTACATAAAAATCAGTAAGCTAGGTAGTTTCTGAGATAGCAATCAGCATGTGATAATACCCAATATGCTTTCTCAAAATTCTGTAACCTCAATAAGGTTGAGGATTCTATCTTACTACTTTTGAAGTGTTTTCAGTACACAACAGTTAAAAAGACCTTTACTCGTGGCCCCCATATCTGATTTTTTTTCCTTTTCCTGATCAGTGATGATTACCAATGAAGTAGCTGACCATGTTGTTGGATTTTCTAGATACTTGCTTTTTATGAAACAAGCATCTCAGGTGACCTTCATCCTAGAGCAAAAGGTTTTCCTGTAAATCATTAATGAATGTCTTCAAATTGTTTTGCTTCTTAATCACATAATAATTTTTAAATGCTATTTATTACATGTGAAGTCATGTACTGTAGCAAATTAGCATTGGTAAAGAAAAATATAACTGGCTGGGCTTGCTCCAATTGGAATTTAACTCATTGAGCGGGATGACACACCCACATTTAAAATGACTGCTACTTCTTGTCTAGGACACTGTGTGTGTGTAGTACAATTTGCAAGAGTAATTAATTAATGCAACTGCAACAAATTGAATCTACCTTATTTGAAGTAAAGGATGAGCATACATCCTTTAATAAGCATACATAAGAAAACAAATCAGCCGAATGAAGGTGTACATACAAGAAACAAATGTGTCAGCAATCACCAAAATAGAATTACATCCAGAGACACACTGATGCAAATCTGGCTGGCATGAAGACAGCTATAGTAAACGTTTTGTTAACTGGCTCCTGGTAACAAGACAACTTGCTTAAAGGCATGCCCACAGGCCAGCCCAAGTCACTTGCACTCTGCCTGCTCATCATGGCCCCTGGGCTGGGGGGGGCCAGGACACGAGTGACTCAGGCAAGGCGTGGGCAGCACTGAACTATGAGTGCTGGCCATGGCTGCCACCTGCTTGACACTTCTACCCTCTTGCAGCCAAGTAAAAGCTTTGTTTGGTAATCCTCATTCCCCATGGATGTTGGTTAACAAAATTTTTACTATAAATAGCTTTTGCTCATAGTTGCCTAAAATAAGCAACACTACAGGACTAGGCAATAATTTTTTGAAAGTAAGGCCTGCAAGGCTTTTACTTTTGAATAGCATATACATGAAGATTGAAAAGAGACTTAATTATTTGAACTGTTAAGAGTTCACTATTAAGAGAACAGAAACTATACAGACTTTTCCATACAACTTAGAAGAAGAGGAGATTGGATTTATACCCCACCCTTCCTACCCAAAGGAGTCTCAGAGCGGCTTACAAGCTCCTTTCCCTTCCCATCCCCACAACAGACACCCTGTGAGGTAGGTGGGGCTGAGAGAGCTCTTTCCAGAACTGTTCTTGAGAGAACAGCTCTGACAGAACTATGGCTTGCCCAAGGTCATCCAGCATTTGCAAGTGGAGGTGTGGGGAATCAAACCTGGTTCTCCCAGATTAGAGTCCATGCACTTAACCACTAAACCAAACTGGCTCTCTTAGTCCCCATTTTGGCACTTTGATAAGCTATAGGTTAAACAAATATGCAGTAATATCTCTGATGCACAGCTCTGCACATACAAAAGAAAATTATTGATTAAAGAAAATAGGAAGAGGATCTGGTACACCAGAGGAGAAAAATGTTACTTTTCACAGATTTCTCTATGTTTTCAGTTAAGGCCAAGAATTCTGTAGGTGGCTTTAAGGAATTCTGTCTCCAGTCTGTAATGAATAAATAATAATGGCTTACCTTAAAGGCTTGTTAAAGTTATTGAAATGCTCTGGACTTCCGGTTTATGGCGACATGCAGGCAGACACATCTCCCGGACGTCCCGGGGATGTAAACTGCACACCAGCGTGTGGGAGGGGGTCCGACAGGTCGCGACACCCCCCCGGAGCCTTGGTAAAAGGCTCCCAGCCAGGGGGCTTTTGAGGGGCAACCTCTTCGATGGCCAAAAGCCGGAGAATTGAGGCGCCCCTCCGCCCTGAAGGTCCTGCCGCTGAGTGACTGCATGGTACGAGTGTTGCTGACCGGGACAAGCGTTGTAGATCAGGCGAAATAAATGATGACGAGTGAGGCCGAATGGCCAACAACGAACTGTGAGTCGGGTTGAAGCGAGCATGAAGATATAAAAAGAAGCTCCCCCCCCACAAAGAGCGATGGGAAAGTGAGCAGGGGAGGGATCCCTCCCAAACGCATAGACGAAACACGGAAGGAAAGAGGGGGAAGCTGAAAAATAAGCAACTAGGGCTCCGGTCACACGGGCAGGAAACTGCGGGGGGGAAGCGTGGCTGTTTGCCCCGCAGCAAACTAACGCGCAATTAAGGGATCAGACCTCCCCTGGAGGTTCCGTGGAGGTCCCGTGGAGGTTCCGTGGGAAGGGAGAGGTGCTGATCACAAGACGATCCTGCGCACAACAAAGAAGCGTGTGTGGGTGTGTGTTTTTTTCGTGTACACCAAAAATGCGCATGCTCCGTTGGGTGCTTGTGCGCATCCACGGAGACTTGGGGGGGGAACCTTGTTTGCAAGGGGACATGGGCGGGCGCCGGATGCCACCAGAAACGCGATCAGACGCCCGCCCTTACCCCGCAGTTTCCGGAAACTAGTACCTCCGAGGTACTAGTTTTTTGCA